CTAGAGATCGAGACCATCCTGGTCAACATGGTGAAACCCCGTCTCTACTAAAAATACAAAAAATTAGCTGGGCATGGTGGTGTGTGCCTGTAATCCCAGCTACTCAGGAGGCTGAGGCAGGAGAATTGCCTGAACCCAGGAGGCAGAGGTTGCGGTGAGCCGAGATCACACCATTGCACTCCAGCCTGGGTAACAAGAGTGAAACTCCGTCTCAAAAAAAAAAAAGACCGTGGCTGAGCGTCTAGTCAGTGTTTTGAAGACAGATCTTTAAGGCTGGTTTCTCGTTAGGCTGTCCTAGTTTCATGAGAACAATCAGATTTGTTATTAATAACTAGGTTGGTTTTACTACAAAATTTATGAAGCCAAAGTCAGCTTGGTCTTTATGTCAGACCAAGTGTCATCCAGGGAGCACCACCATCCTCTAACCACAGGACCTCAATGCCAACATTATCTGTGGTCTCTAAGATGTGTGGGATCCTGGTTCTCAGTCGGACTGAGTCAGAGTGGTTGTCCAGGGCAAGAAGGAGACACTGAAAACTCTGAAAGGGTCATAGTCTACACGGACCAATGGAATCCATTCTTTTATTTAAAAAAGAAAAAGAAAAGAAAAACTGGCCAGTCATGGTGGCTCACACCTATAATCCTAGCACTTTGGGAGGCCAAGGTGGGAGGATCGTTTGAACCCAGGAGTTCAAGAGCAGTCTGAGCAACATAGTAAGACCTCATCTCTACACACACACACACACACACACACATACACACACACACACACACATTAGCTGGGTGTAGTGGTGTGCACCTGTGTTCCCAGCTACTCAGGAGGCTGAGGCAGGAGGATTGCTTGAGCTCCAGAGGTCGAGGCGACAGGGAGCTGTGACTGTACCACTGCACTCCATTCTGGGCAACAGAGCAAAACCCAGTCTCAAAAAAAAGGAAAGAAAAAACCCTAAGTGTTAGCGTAGGGAACGTTGTGGCAATAAAAAGTCTAACTCAGTGGCCCTCATGTAATGTGGGCTGTTCGGGCTCGGAGCATCACATGCCCTTGCTGGCTCACCAACCACCAGCATTAAACAAGGCATCAAACTGCCGCCTCCATCGGGGCGAGGCTTGTGCTGAGCCACCCGCACCTCCTGCCGGGGCTCCTGCATGGTGGCAGCAGGTGGCTGTGCCAGAGGCCGTCAGAGTTCGGGTGGCCTGTGATCACTATCCCTTAGGATTCTGAGGTGGGCGGGGTTGACTTCCTGTGCCGTGGGCCCAGACCCACCCTGCAGCTAGCCCCCTTTGCCTGGCTGTGGCATACATTCACTCCAGCCCTGCAATAGGGACATAACATTTATTTATTCATTGTTGTCCTTCATCATGCCTGAGGGCGAAACAGCGAGGTGCCCATGCCAGGAGCTTTATCTAAACTCCTTCTAGAGAAAGCACGGCTGTTGTCTGCGGCCGCTCACTCCCCGACATGCCTGTTCTCTCACTGCAGTGTGAAGATGAACCATCCCCCAGGCTATCCTGTGAGACACAAGCAGTGAAAGTTTCTGCTCTTTGCCTTTGGGGGCTTTACCTGAACTTGAAAGTTACCTTATTACCTAAGACACACTTGAGTTTCGTAAAAGCAAGCAAGAAACGTGGTTCACTATAAACTTGGGAGAATTCTTTTCTTATGTTAGTTTTTAAAAATAAATAGGAACGATGGGGCAAGTAAATCACCTGGGGATTCACCTGGGCCTTCAGCAGCATGAGGCTGGCATTGGGTCATGGCATTCTTTGTGGTGACGGTGCAGAGCAGGGCCAGGAAGGGCTGGCGTCCGGGGCTCCAGCTCCAGCCTCCCTCTGCAGCTCCTTGTCAGTGTGGCCTTGACCAGGCCATTTCCCATACGTGAGTGCAGTGGACCCAACCCAAGCCCATCCAGATAGCCTTAGGCTGTGAGCGATGGATGGGCTTGAGTTGGATCAGTGCTGACCCTTAAAAAAAGGACCAGTGCTGACCCTTAAATAAGGAAGCCTGGGGCCAGGTGCCATGGCTCACGCTGGTAATCCCAGCACTTTGGGAAGCAGAGGTGGGTGGATCATGAGGTCAGGAGTTCAAGACCAGCCTGGCCAGCATGGTGAAACCCCGTCTCTGCTAAAAGTACAAAAATTAGCCAGGTGTGGTGGTGTGCTCCTGAAGTCCCAGCTAATCATGGGCTGAGTCAGGAGAATCTCTTGAATCTGGGAGGGGGAGCTTGCAGTGAGCCAAGATTGTGCCACTGCATTCCAGCCTGGGTGAAGAGTGAGACTCCGTCTCAAAAAAAAAAAAAAAAAAAGTAGCCTGGGTTTCTTTCTAAAGAGGATCCTGTAAATACCTGTTGTTTCACTTACCCTGAAGACAGACACACACAACACACAAAAACATAGACAAGCACATATACATACTCACATACTTATAAACATGTACACATACACACATATACACATATGCACCCACATACAGATACACACATACATACATGCACATACATACACACCTCACACGTACATACACACATACACATAGGCACATGCACATATATACATGCATGCACACACATACACTCCTCACACATACTTACTATACCCATATACATATGCGATTCTCATCCCACATACATATAGACACATGCACACAAATATACGTGCACACATATTCACACACATACATATAGACACATGCACACACATATACACCTCACACATACACGCATGCAAACACACATATGCACATGCATATGCACCTTACACACAGACACATACACACACATCTACTCACATGCATAAACATTTACTCAGCAAATTTTCTGTCAAACCTGCTGCTTCCTGTGGCTCTCCACATTGAGGCTGCTGCCTTTCTCTCCTTTAATTTTTTTCTAAGAAATTAGGTTTGGTTTTGTTTGTTCAATTTATTTTGCATTACAAAACTTTGGAGCTTATTTTATGTAATAATATTTTTCATAATTTATGAAAAAACACATGATCCTTGCTTTAAATAGTCCAAACCTATGAACTAGCCAGATCTGGGCACGTAGGCTGGTGCAGGGAGAACAACACAGACTTTGGAGTTAGACAGCCACGGGCTCGAATTCCTTCTTTGTCTTTATTTGCTGAGGGTTTGGGCAGATAACCTCTGTGAATTTCAATTTCCTTCTCTGATAAATGGAATAACAATAACCACCTCATAAAGGTTAAGTGAAGGATTAGAGGAAAAACGTGGATGTGTGTGTGAAAGCTCCTGGTCTAAGCAGATGCTTAATCAAGGCTGAGCCATCCCTGAATAATCCCCAGGTCTTCTCAGGAGAAGATCTGGTCTGCGTACAACCATCTCAGAAGTGCATTTTACACACACAGATGTGCATACACAATACGCATGTGTACAGAGACCAGGTAGTCTGAGCAAGGATTTGACCCTGCAAACCCACGTTCTTGCTGTACCGTACCTCTGGCTTGTAGCTTTTGGCTATGCGCTGCCCTCTTCACCCTGACCTAGGCAGACCCCTTTTGCCCCTAGTCTAAGAAGTGATTCTCAGCTTTCAAGTGCTCTGGACTCATGTGGAGGTGCGGTTCAAGCACAGCCTATGGCGCCCCATCCCAAGAGCTCTTCTGAGTCACTGGGTCTGGGATGCTCCTGAGAAGCTGCATTTCTAGCAGCCTGGTGGCGCCGATGCTGAGGTCTGAGGACCACACTGAGAACCACTGCTGTATGTACTCTGACCCATCTCTGGGCTCCTTGGAATTGTACACTGGAGTTACAGGGTTGCAGTAACCATATCTGGAAAATGGGCTTTTCTTTCCTTAAATATTGCATCCAATAACCAGACTGTCAGCTTTCTCATTTACAGAGGACCGACCGAGTTGTATTTCATAGAGTATGAAGCATGATTTTAGCTGCCTTATATCTTCAAGGCATCTTAAATCTTGGAAATTATTTTGAATGGCTTGCTAACCCTGAAAGGGTTAAAAAAAACAAAAACCAATTTGGAAAAATACTGGTGGGAAAGTGCTGGGGAATCTTTGTCTTTCTGTCCCTTTATTCCTTCATCCCCTCATTCCTTTCCCCCCCAGACTCAGTCCTGTCCCTCCCACCCACTAGCTTGTGCCTAACCATCCTGGGCCTCAGTGTTTTCCTCTTGGAGAGCAGGGGATTGAGTCTGAGAATCTTTGTTCTGATTTCTTGCTTTTCCTGGTCCCTCCATGAAAAGGACTAGGGGAATGAAATGATTTCTTGATTTTCACCAAATGAAAGGTGCCTGGACTCTGGGTAGATGTAAACTAAAATAGAGGGTGCTGACTGGGTGAGGTGGTTCATACCTGTAATCCCAGCACTTTGGGAGGCCGAGGCAAGTGGATCACTTGAGGTCAGGAGTTTGAGACCAGCCTCGCCAACTTGGCAAAACCCCATCTTTACTAAAAATACAAAAATTTGCCAGGTGTGGTGGCACATGCCTGTAATCCCAGCTACCCAGGAGGCTGAGAATTGCTTGAACCTGGGAGGTGGAGGTTGCAGTGAGCTGAGATTGTGCTACTGCACTCTAGCCTGGGCAACAGAGTTAGACTCAGTCTCAAAAAAAAAGATGGTGCTGAGGTGCAGCCCTGGAGCTACCCTCAGGCCTCCCCCGTAGGTTCCACACAGCTGTCTCCCTACCATCCCCACCTGCCCCATTTGTTCGTTTTACTTCCTCAAACCCTGTACCCCAGCC